AATAAAAATTAATAAAAAAGGAAGTCATGTATTTTTTTATATTAATAACATGACTACATGCGAGAAAAGTCGCGAGCACAGCCGCGGGCAGTAGCTAGTTTGGTATAAAAATTATAATTATAATCGCATTGTAAATATGTTTGTTTCATCCCCGTCTTCTTGTAAGATTATGTTGTTTTAACTAATAATTCAAATTGAATTAATCTATTTTTTTCAATAAATACACTAATTTTTATTTATTTCTATACTTTCATTATACTGATGTCCACCTAAACCAAAGATTTTGCCGAATAACAATATCAAAACTTTAAGGGACCGACGCCCTGTTTGTCTGCTAGCTTCAGCCTCATCCCAGTCATCAACCTAAAATACCAGACTTTTTCGCTACCCTGTATGTGTAAGATCAGGAAAAACAATAATGTAATACAGTCCTATACATCACCCTACAACAATTTCAAAATAATTAAACATTTATTCGTTTTAAAGAAAATACCTTGTTGCCAGACTTTTTCGCTTCCCCGCATATATTAAATATTTCAAAATTTTATTTTATTGCACCATTCTAGTTGGTTACAAATAATTTCAACCTCAAAAAATACTGGGTTCATTAAAATTCTTTTTTTTTTTTTTGTAAAATAAAATACATTTTTATTTTCAGTACCTTGGGCTCTCGCATTCTCCAGAAATATGTGGAAACTGTCGCGAAAGTCTACGAGTAGCTTACACTTTTCGAAAATTATGTCTCGAAACCGAAACAATGATAGGAAATTATTTAAAAAACGTAAGATGCACAGCCCAGGTAATAGACTTGGGCGCTGTTATAAATGATTATGAACTTTTCTGAAAAGGGAAAATTTATGTACCAAAAAAAGAAAAGAAACAACTTATTATGTCACTCTCAATTTATTTTTAAATTATATTCCAAATACGATTTCTGGTTTATCTATATGTAGATGATGACCTTTATCATATTACCTGTATCAAAACTTAACATTCTCAATAAATGAAGTTAATGATTAAAATGGTGATTTTTAATTATTATAGTTAATTAGAAAAAATGTATAATATTAAACAAATATTAATACGACAAAATAATTAAAAATGGTGATTTTTAATTATTATAGTTAATTAGAAAAAATGTATAATATTAAACAAATATTAATACGATAGAATACCTTTCATAGCTATGTTCGGTTTACAACCCTTTATATTAATTAAATAACTTTCATGTTCTAAATTATATACCAAATTATAATCATGAGTAGTGTAATATTTAAATTAAATAGTTAAATAAAAAAGTATTATTCTTGAATAAAACCTGGTTTGCTGAACTCGTGGCTCGCTTAGATCTTTCGGTAACAGATCTCGGGCAGGTTACTGGTAACAAGTAGGTTGACTCCATTTCCAAAGGAAAGGTACAGTTGAATCTGGTTGTGGATGAAAGGTACAGCTGAATGTGGTTGTATGCAGCAAACTACGTCTCGAAAAATACTCAGCTAGACTTTGGAATGTGGTAACTCATACATCGTGAAGACGAAACCAAATGCGGCTATTATTCCAATATTAAGTGATGTAATAAACAGGACGATATTCAAGGTATTGATTATGGATATCTCTATATAAATGAGTACTTCAGAAACCATCAAGCGATGTAGTACAAAAAACATGGAAGGCGTGCTTTCTACCGGACTATGTCCCAGTGTAGGTCCCTATTAAGGGATGACAAAACTAACACTAGCCTTCACACGAAATGATGTGACTCTTGCGGCTTTTCAAACAGAAAGGAACGAACTCGCAAAATGGCTATTCAAAGTTCCAGAAAGGCACAAAAAATTATCTGCGTTATTTTGAATAAATAATAATTGAGGCGATTTTAAATCAGATACTATGTCTTGAATATGATTGACTACACTGATATAAATCAAAAACAATGACGTCATATTGAAGATTGTCTTGAAATAGTCAAGTTTAACATGACTACAGTAAAAACGTGGTCATCACAGGTATGAAATGTCAAATGAAATGACAAATGTAAAACTTTTACTTTTTAATTATTAAATCATTGTTTGGTTGTGTTATTTGTAAAATGGAAAGAAAGATTATTTACGAAAGGGAAAAGTGGGACAATGGTGACGATAGGGTATCAGGTTAAAAAAAACAGGTATTTTTATAAAATAAGCTCCTTTTTTTGTAGAGATCTAAAAAAAGGTCCTCCGCTTATATTTATTTAAACCATCAGATTCCTTTTTCTGAGCTTCTGAAAAACAGGTCAAACATTGTCAAATTATATATAACTTTGAATTTAAAAAACGTAGCAATAAGGTAAAATGCGGGGCATTTTTGTACTTTGGCGTAACGCGTGACAGCAAGTTAAAAAGCGGGACAATTACGCCTAAAGTGCGACGTCTGGCAACCCTGGCTGAGTACCTAGATATGGACGCATTTAAGGTTTCTGCAAATGAAAAGCCAATTTGTTTTCAAGGTAGGATTTATTAATGAACATGGCTAAAGTTTTGATAAAAAATCAGAGGCCAAAGTAACTATAATACCAATTTTCTCTTCATCCATGATCAGTAAACAAATAGTATATTATGCAACGATCATGTAATAACCATTACATGAGAGTTGCATACGCTATTTTTTCTACACCCGATAAATAATCAAGAACTATAAATATTATATTTATATTGGTATTGAACACAATAACAATAATTACTCGTGTATTTCTATAAAAAATTCTACAAAATTGTAATTAATGGTATTACTTCGGGTATTGGTATTTCCCTAGATTTTTGCGGCAAAATATTTTGTACTGTATTTTCTGCTTTCTCCGATATGTGTGGAGGAGTCTTCTATATCGCTGATATCAGACATTTTAATATTATAATTAACGAAGTTTAGTTATCTACCAAAATTTAATACGTTTTGACAACTAAAACAAATACATAGGAACCTAGGACAAACGTCAAACAGCATGCTTGATTGAAAAATTGTAGGTTTCTATTGATTAAAAATCTGTATCGTAATGAAAAATCTGTATCGTAATGAAAAATCTGTATCGTAATGAAAAATCTGTATCGTAATGAAAAATCTGTATCATAATGGATATCATTATGAAACGGATTATGGGCATATAAGTGCATTATTATAATACGGGTGTAGAAAAACAAATATTTTTTATCCCTACAAATTCAAAAACAAATCCTACTACTATTACATAACACACAAACAAAAATTCATGATATCTGCCAATGTTATACCCATTGTGAAGTTAGTGTCAGTATAAACCAAACATTTTTAAATCAGATTATTAGAACGTCATTAAAATGACGTAAGAACCTTGACCACACTTGACTTGGTCACATTTCTAGTAACTGATTTAAAATCGCCTTTGGATATTATTAAAAATATATCATCTACCAGAATTGAATTATATGCACAACAAAACAATTATAGATGGTAATGTATTATAAAGTGATTAAACAAAGTTATTTTATTGTGATTTATGTTTCAGAGCTGAATCAAACAGTCTAAATATTATTGAACAATTCTTAGTATATAATAGTTATCAAATCAAATATGAAATTGTCTTTGAGAAACATTCCACAGAAGTGAAATACTTTAGTAGTTACGACTCAAGCTAATTGTTTTATATTGATAGTAATGAAAAGGTTAGTACATGTAAATACATTCTTTGTAGATTTAAATAAAATATTCTTGTGAAAATATAAATGCTACAGGTGGTAAGTACATTTATTATTGTTTCTGAATAATTTACCTTTAGATAACTAATTTAAATAACTTTAGTAGATTATTTTAAAAAAATAGTTGTGGCCAACGATCGAATTTTATGCCAAGTTCAATGATGTTTTTTTGTCTTAATTGTGACATACCTACTTTCTCATTTTGGTCATTTAATATCCAAATCAGTGTAAAGGTGATAAATATCCCCGTTTTAAGGGTATGAACAGTTCAATTGGTATTAATTTTTATTTCATATTTTTCAGGTGCAGAGAAGCCAACTGAGACTGAGGGCGCTATTATTACTGTTATTTATTACATAAAGTAATTAAGACTTTGTATCTTTTATATTAAAACAATAAATTGAATATTTTATCAAGGAACATTATTTTCTAGGTTATAATTATAATAATTATGGAATACTACTACAAATTTTATTAAAAATTACTACAATTTGTATGAATGTTTACTATTTATTGTGTAAAATTTTCGTATTTATTTTCATAAAACGCAATACATTTTTAATATAAATTCATACAATGAATAACAAAAATTATAACAATTTGTAGAACAATTCTCATGATGCATTTGGATATTTTTACTAAATATTGTAGATAATAACTCTACAATACATTCTCCACAAATATTTGGAAATTTTTACTACAAATTGTCCCTGTCCCTATATGTACTATTTATTGTAGAAAAAAAAAATCTATAATTGTAGAAATTTGTTCTACAATTTTTTTCCCGTGTAGTGTTAGAATACAATCGTTTTAGGTGTAGAACGCTGACAAACTACATGTAAGGGAAGATAAGCTACGATCGATAATAAATTTATTATATCGGAAATTTTTCTACCAAACCTTATACTATAATATAATAATAATAATAATGTTTATTTAGATAATGTTTCATCAATATAAAAACAATTAAAAACGGAGAATAAATAATAGGGGACCATTATTACAGAAGCAGTCTAAAACTGTTTGTATATAAGTACATATTACATAATACACCGTTAAACTGATAGATAAAACATTAAACGGGTTTAAAAATTTGTCCCTTTAAAATCCAAGAAAGAACAAAAATGAATTTGAATATTTTTTGTAAAATATTAGAAAAATCTTAAAAATTATTAAATATAAAATGGATAATATATGAATTAGTATAAAAATATTAATAAAAATATAAATAGAAATACAGATAAAATGAAAACAATTTTTTAATACAATAGGAAGTTAAAATAAAATATTACTTACTTTGTACTGGTGGTATAGATGACAAGGAATCAGTTTTTGGTGTTGTGCAATTTACTCCAGAATCATTTTCTGTAGCGTTTGTTATTGATAAATTATCGTTTACCAAATTCAACTAAAAACCAAATTAGATATAAATTAGTTGGTTATCAAAAAAAGTAATATTTTTTATTTTAAGCATATTAATCTCTTTTAAATAGGTCTGTTAGATCTTGGAAAACAATAATAATAAAGTCATATTTGGAGAATACATCACACTAGAACAGTTCTAGGTTTAATTATTTGCAATAATTTTGAATTTTTTTATGAAAGTAAACAAGAGTTAGGTACATGGCGATTAAAACCGTTTTTAATTATTTTGAGTTTTATTATGGAAAATACGAACGTATCTTAAAAGAAATAATAACTACATTATGAAAGCAATATAGGATATCCAGACACTTTCAGTAATTAACTGTGAATATTTTAATGATTTAATAAACGTTTTAACGAGTGTTTTTCAAAAAACTAAAATGGTATAAAATAAGTAGCTTACGAAACTTCTAAATACGAAGGCCGAGAATAGAACAGAGTAAACAAATCAGTGAAGACCCTACAAAAGAGACAAATGGATAAAGATCTGTATACCTTTGGTAAATCTTCAATGCTAATTAGCAGTGCAAGAAGAACACAAATGAACTGATTAGTTATCAAAAAGTAGAGATTACCCCATTACTGTAGTTTAACAATATAACAAAATTTGCTGTAAATAACTTTAATTGAGCAAATAATAACTTGAGAATGATGGAAGGTAAATTACAAGATAAAAAAATGTAAAAATGGCGGAAAATAAATTCCAAGGAGCCTGTTGATCATCAATATTGCAGCACATAACAAACAAAGAAATAAGTAAAGAGACCAGAAAAGGATCTTTTTTAACCATCTAATGAAGGTGAAATAGAGAATAAAAACTGATATTTTGTATGATGAAGAATGTAAAAACTTGCTATTAAATCTTTGTTTAATCAAATTTAGATAGCAAAATACTTACGTTGATATTTAAATTGTCTGAATTAAGTTCAGCACTAAAGGAAGTATCTTCAGGATTTGGACACGTTTGATTCCAATTTAACCAAACACCTGATCCATTTTCACACTGGTTTTTGACTTCGCATCGATCAGAGCTTTGGCACCAACCACAGTTATATTTGTTAGCTAGTGCTAAACAATTTCCACAATTGTCCGCCATTTTACGACAACGATAGATTACAACTGAAAAATAATTACAAAATTATAGCAGTAGTCTAAGTTATGATTATCTTAAATAGAATGTTGTTTTTACTAATACAAATTAATTGATTCCTAAAAAGATATCATTATTTGCCCTAGTTTTAATTTTACAAATAACATCGCAGATTTCGGTTACTGTAATATTAAAATTAAAAACATTTAAACAAAGATTATTTTTTCGGCTTATCAGATGCGTTGAGGGAAAGAATAATTGCTTTAGTGGAAGAAGGTATGTCCCAAAGGGCCGTTGGCCGTACAGTACGTGTTTCACAAGAAGTGGTTTCAAAAACTTATTCAAAATTCTTAGAATTTATAAAATCTAAAAAACAAACTTAGAAGATGTAACCAAAGAATTACTATCAAGCAGCAAGGATTGCTTTTTAAAAGAAATCCAACAGTAACTCATCCAGAATTTCAATTACAACTTCTACTAAGACAAGAAAAAGTATATCAGTGAAAACAATTAGAAAACGACTTTGTGTCAGATAATTGTTTATTAGGAGATAATTAAGAATTTCCCATGTAAGCAGACAAAACAAAGAAGATCAATAAATTTGGTGTTTGTAGCACCAAAATTGGACAATAGAAAAATGGTAAAACGTTTTATTTCAGAAAAAACTGGGATCGATCTTAAATCTGATCACCGATAAATTTATATTTTAAGAGGCTGTGGAAGACAAGCAAGGCTTCAAGCTATCCGACAGGTTCCAAAATAAAAAAAAGGAATAGTAATGTTTTGGGGCACAATACTGCTACAAGAAAGAACTCCCATAATTAACTATTTTCATTTTATTTCTAAGTAAAATATTTTTAACGGTAAATATTAACTAAAACCTAAAGTATCTTTTGGTCCGGATGGTATATCTGAATTGTTCTTGAAAAATTGCGTTTGTGCTTCCCACAACACTTGTATCTGTTGAAGAAGAATCATTTTATAACTTTTATTTATAAGACAAAAAAAATATATCAAATAACCAAGGAGTTTTAATTCAATTAAAAATCTTATTAATTTCTGTACAATTAGACAGGTCAGCCAAATATGTAATTGTTCAGGAACAGCATGGTTTCTTATTAGATAAACCAACTTTAAAGAGTCTTCTGTGTTTTAAAAATCACATTCTAAATGTATTTAAAAACAACAATTTGATCGTTTTTATAGACTAATGAGAAAAATGGTATTTAGGTTTTTGTTTTCTTTCGACCTCTTCAACACGTGTATAAAATATGAGGGATTTGGGAATACATCTGACAAGATCAAACTTTTAGTTCTACTTTGTGTTACAATGAATAGTAACTGACGTTCCCAGATGCAAGAAAAGACACAACATAGTAGCAATGTTGCCAACCACAGGTTAAGTCTACCAACTAAAAGTTCCATTAGAGATTGGAATCGAAAATGTTCTATTTCTTGAAGTCCTAATAAGGAAGAAGTGGGTCCAATATTGATTTTCTTCCTCGTTAGCAAAATAAAATAAAGTAGTGAAAATAAATGTTTACCTTCGCCTTTTCTCTTTCGGTTTAATTAAATGCCTGTTGTGGAATTAGCAAAAGGAGTAATTGTTTCACGGAAAGAAATGGTCGCTCGTATTATTTGTGAGAGATGGCTTTGAGATTGTTTTTCTTTAATAAACTCGTTAATATTGAAAATATAATTTCACTTACTATGAACATTGTCTGGATTGTCCAGAGGTTTTGAACCTCCCCAAATAACAGCAAAAGGAACAGTAATATTTGGTGCTCTAGATGTGTAGAAAAATTCCATGGCATCACAGTAAATAGTATCACCTAGTAGTTGAGCATTTACACTAGTAATTTTTCCTTCTATATTGAATTGACATACGAATCTAGTTTGAACGATGAACTGTCCGATAATATGGACCTTGACTTTAATAGCCTTCTTTGTTCCAGAAGCTATCAATATTTTTGGCGAAATTCCGATTCTTGCATTTATTCTGGGGCAAAATCCCGGACCTGATCTGTAACTTGGTATTGTCCTCTGTAATGGAAATTGAAATGATTAGTATAAAATAGTAGAATATGCAGGGTGTCCCTGTATATATCAAAGGTTTCTTCGCATTATCTTAACAAGCACAAAATTGGTTAGCTTTTGTCTAATTTAACCAACTTCTATCCGGTACCGGTTAAGAAATAGCAATACTGACCTTGTGAAATACGGATAACAATATATAACAAACATACAATGATTTTTTATCAGTTTACCCTCGAAAATTACTTGTTAAAATTATGCGAATGTTATTATACTTAACATCTTGTAAATCTGAATTATTTATGACAATATTTGCATTAAATATGTAGCTCGAATTTACGTTAAAAAATATTTTTTAAATTCAGATTACGTGATGCGTCAATAATAGTAGTTTATGCAACAAGAAGGATATTATGGCCATATCGCACGAAGACGAAATTTGAACCGTAATCGGAGTGCTCAATCGTCTGAGTTAGTCTATTTTTTCGACGACCCACTACGAAAATTTACAAATAAAAAAATATTTTAGGTTATTAAGACAAAATAACTAATTTTAAAATAATTTATGATTTTTAATAATTTTTAAAATAAAATAAACGAAAAAAGTTCAATTCATTTTTCTCCATTCGAGAATCGATCTTTAGTCTTCTGTGTTGAAGGAAAGAACGCTACCACAGGATGATCTTTTATTTTTATTGCTTTAATACTCATAATTAAATTGACTTCATATAGTTTTATTAAATTATTTATAATTATAGACGAAATAAAAACAGAAATGTTAATATTTATCGATTATACATAAGAATAACCCATTTTAATGTATGTTTAATCTCAATAACTAAAAAAAAATACTGACAATTAGTTTGATAGAATAGTGACTTATTTAAAATATTAAAAATAATCGGTTGATCAAAATATGAAAAATGATTGGTGGATTTCATTTTTTGCAGTGTTCTCACTACCTAGAATGGATATGAAATAAAATCGTTCAGTTCAAGGCAATAGCATACTGTAACGATAGTTTAATTTATTTATAGTTTATTTATTTAAAACACACTATTTACAGTTTATTTATGACGTACTAATTAATTTATATAATACTTAGGCAACTAACTCACAATTTTAATTTATTTATTACAATTTAACTTTTCTGTCCAACACTTTATTCTCAACTACTTGTCCATTGACGAAATTGTGCTATTTATACAAAGCCCACTCTGTACGAGAAATCTGTAGACGATGTGGAATTTCCTACAATTTCATCTCTATGACTTAAGGTCACGTATCGCTTGTTTTGTTATATTTGAAACACAGAGCGTTTGACTCTATACGTCAGCGGTGTTTCGACCATAAGTAGAGTGGCAGGCTGAAGGTCGCTTACTAGACAGGGTTGGTTCTGCATCACAATACTTTTTCGTTGTGTAGTCTGTGTTGTACACCGTGTCCCACGTAAGGCGGGCATTACAACTTTATGGAGAATAAATTAATTTGTATTTTCGCCATTTTCTGAGTATACATAATCGAATATGCTCTTTTGAATTAAAATAAAATGAACTCTGTGCAACTTCCGGTTATACCCCATATTTTTTTTTTAATTTTAGATTCAGCATGAAATTCTGTAAAAAACGATACCCCATTTGCCTATTCTAGTTATAGCGGATTTGTCGTTATTCAATTTTTTTCTACATTTTTAGTCGCCGGTAGACATTTTCTTAAAGTCGTCTATCTCAGGTACTATATCTATCAGATACTTAAAATTTTAACCAGAGGTAGTAGATGGGATGTACTTCTTGAGAATATTTAGTTATTCATTATTTGTTGTACGGGGTGTTTGCAAATTATTTTTAAAAACGAAATTTTTTAAACATAAAAAACTTTTTTATTTTAAATTGAACACCCTATATATTTTTTAAATTTTAGATTCAGCATGAAATTCTGTAAACAATCATACCCCATTCGCCTATTCTAATTATAGTGTATTTGGCGTTATTCAGTTTTTTATAAACTTTTATATGCCGGCAGACATTTGCTTTTTTAAATTTACTTGTACATCGTTTGTTCGACTGTGTGTTTGGAAATTATTTTAAAAAATAAATATTTTAAACATGAAATTTTTGTTTATTTTAAATGGAAAATCCTGTATATTTTTATTTCATTTTGTTCAGAAAATTATTCTTCATTGATCTTCATTTGCACTATTAATTCCCTATAATTATCTCTCGCCAATTTTAAGAAAATTTAAATTTAAATTTTACGCATGCACCTACATAATATAGTATAGTTTTACATTTTAATTTTTTATCTTAGTATGCCATGGAAATATGCTAAACAACAATCTGTCAACAAACTGAATTGTCATATTTCTATGTATTTAAGTTGTGTATTTTTTGCGTTCAAAATATGGAAAATATGGAAAATATTGAAGAATATACCAACCAAGATATTCTTAATTTATTTTACATTCATGGAGAATGTAATCGAATCAAAAGTAGAACCTGCCGCATGTTTAATGAACGATAGCCTCATTTACCACCAATGAACAGACAGAAATTTGATAGAATCGAAGCTAACTTTTTGAATAATTTTAAACAAAACCCGGGAAGAAACCGTCAACATTATGTCCGAGATGAAGAAGTTAATCTAATTAACGTATTAGGGTATTTTACTGCGTATCCTCACGCCTCCATTAGAATGGCTCAAGATAATTTAAATATTAGTCGAGGGTCAATACAACGAATTTTAGCACTAAATAAATGGCATCCCTATGCACAAAGAAAAGTTCATGAGTTGCGAGATGGTGATCAAATAAGACGAACTGAATTATGCGAATGGTTATTGGTACGAATTCAAGAAGATCCCGAGATTTTAAACAAAATTTTGTGGTCAGACGAGTCGAAATTTACACGTAAAGGGATCATCAATCGCAAGCAATGTCATTTCTGGGCAAACGAAAATCCACATTTTTATCGTGAAGCACAATTTCAGTACGAATTTAGTTTTAATGTGTTTACAGTGATCGGTTTTGGAAGAGCTTTTTATTACATTTATAATGAAAGACTGACCTCAGAAAGATACATTAGAATTCTTAGAGAAGTAGTTGCCGACATTTTAAACCAGCTACCAAATAATAATTTTTGGTACCAGTTGGATGGTGCCCCAGCACATTCAACATACTATGTAAATCAAGAAATTACAGCACTCTTTGAAGACCGATGGATAGGTCCAAATGGTCCTTGGCTTTGGCCTGCAAGATCGCCAGATCTAACTCCTGTTGATTTTTTTTATGGGGTCATATTAAAAATTTAGTGTACTCTACCCAAATTAATACTAAAGAAGAATTAGAGCAAAGAGTTCGGAATGCCTTTAACGAGTTAGATGGTGAAATGATTCGTAAAGCAACAACTAATCATGTTGAAAAAAGATTGTTAAAATGTTTAGAAGCTAACGGGGGGCATTTTGAACATTTGATAAAATGATTTTTTTAAACCATGTGCTTTTAATAAAAATTGTTTTTAGTTAGTATGTACCTTATAATTAAAAAAATTTAAACTTTTTAAACGACATATTTTGTTGCAGAAAACTGTAAATGTTTTTAAAAGTACATCCCATCTACTACTTCTGGCTAAAATTTCAAGTATCCAACAGAAATAGTACCTGAGACAGTCGACTTTAAGAAAATGCCTACCGGCGCGACGACTAAAAATCAAAAAAAAATGAATAACGCCAAATCCGCTATAATTAGAATAGGAAAATGGGGTATCGTTGTTTACAGAATTTCATGCTGAATCTAAAATTAAAAAAAAATATGGGGTATTCCCTTTAAAATAACGAAGTTAGTGGTCACTTCCGGTATAACCGGAAGTTGCACAGAGTTCATTTTATTTTAATTCAAAAGAGCATATTCGATTATGTATACTCAGAAAATGGCGAAAATACAAATTAATTTATTCTCGATAAAGTTGTAATGCCCGCCTTACGTGGGACACGGTGTACCTATATGTGAGTGTAGAAAAAAGTATTTAAAATATAATATAATGTCGTTCAAATCACAATGTTAAGACATAAAAATATTTGTTCCATCTACGTTGGCTGTTCTAACTAAGCTTCAATAGGACAAGATCGAGCTTTTTGTTAAACTTTAGGAACATTTTTATGACCATTACATTTTTGCAATTATTGTTTCGTACCTCAGAAAAAGTTACAAAATTAAAATCATTATTATTTTATTTTAAGAAATATTCCAACAAAATTTGAAAGCTTTTGTAATTAATGTAAATTGATTTTGTTTAACTACTGGTCTGAAGCGACAATTGTGTTTATTTTGTATTTTGCTGAGATACATAAACTATCAAAAGGTTGTCTGTATTTTTCTCAACTACCCACGATCCATCAACATTATACTTGTTACAGGAGAAGACATTTTTTTAATTAAAGTACTAGAAGTAAAAGGTGCGTAAAAAAACATATCAGTTAACTATTTTATTTGGAATACCTAATATACTAATAAAAAGGAATACTTACGCTAACGCCAGTAACTAGAATGTCGTTCCTACAATTTTCGGCAGTGTCATGTGTACATCTATGCCTATCTACACACCAGTCACAAGGAAAAGAAGAAGATACGCACTGCGTACAGGAACTGTAAGTGTTGCAGTCAAAAACATGATCTGTAATAAGTATTAAGCTTATAAAATATATTATTTTACCTATATGTAAGAGATGTGTTATAAACATTTCCTTGTTATAGTCTCAAAATAAACATCAAGAGCAGCTTTATCTCATCTTGGTAGACTAAATGAGTATATTAATGTAAATGATCTGCAACAATATATTATTCGCCCAGCGGATAATAGATTTTTACAAATTTATTATCCGTTAAATGTTATTTGAAAATAGATAATTATTCGTAAAAGTAAAGTCTTTTAATTTTTTAATTATAGTTCAAGTACCTATTGCGTAATTCACAGGTAATTTTTGTTCTTTTTTCGGTAAATTTAATATTACGTTATTAATTTTTGAAGTAATAAAGGAGTTAGTATTATTTTGATTTGTAGTTTATATTATTGGTTTAGTAGTTGCGTCTCGTTTATTACTAAGAATTGGTAATAATCAACTTAAGTAGAGAAGAAAAGAATGCATAGTCCGAATTCAAGTAATGACAGTTCGTCAGATTCGTCTGGTCGGGACCGAGATGTTGAAGGTTATAGAAATAAGGAATCTGGAAAGCAGGACTAACAATATAAAGGGTGATCCAATTTCAGTTTCCTACATTGGCACTACTGTAAATCAGACAGTTGATAATATGCATTTGTCTACGAAGCGTCAAAAGTCAGTTTGTAGCACATACTTTGATTTTCTTTTACTATACGGAGAATGTTCGCACTGAGCAGCTTTCTGAGTGCCTTTTAAAAGGAGATAGAAAACTCCGCCATTTTGAACCCTTATTACGTATTGCCTACAATTTGGCGCAATATTTTTAATAGGTGCGTTTTAATCATCCGCTTCTGCTTCGGAATTGTCAGTTTTCTTGTTTTAATCTGACAGGTTAAAACGACTAAACCGACAATTCCGGAAGCAGAAGCGGATGATTAAAACGCACCTGATATTTTGCTTGCTGCTGTCAGTGTCAGTGAATATTATTTTTGAAGTCACAGTTTATTGCTAAAGAATCAGTTAGCTCACTCGGACCAGTTGAAAGTTCCAAAATAACATCCACTCCAGGGATACAAATTCAGGATACGCAGAAGACTGCTGTTTTATTATAGGCGGTTGTCATATATTGTATTATCCGAGTTGCGTAGTGTATAAACTGGAACATTGAGATCCAAAGTGCCGACGCAGAGTGAGCGATCTGATTCTTTAGCTGTAAACTGTGTCACAGGGTTCAAAATGGCTGCGCCCTATGTAATCAAAGTATGTGGTTTGTAGTAACACATTGGCTGCGTTCATCCGCGCCACATGCTACCTGATCGATCTGGTAGCGCTCTCGAGTGGCACGTATGAACGGTGTATTTTGACATTTCGCTCAAGGAGCAGCCGCCATTAAAAGTAGCGCATTTTATTTACGTCTGATCGGTGATCACTGATATCTGTCTTACGCACTTACGTCCACGGTTTGCTTGGTGACTAGTAGGGTTATATTAGCATATTAGCAATTGAAAAATAAACAAACAAATCTTCAACCAGAGACATTCAACTCAAAAGTAAAATGAATAAACCAAAATCAAATGTCACTTTTAAACATGGTTCATCCGTGCATAAAGATCGATCAGGTAGCGTAAGTGATCGCTACTTTTGTAGCGCTCCTTGAAATGGCGCGGATGAACGCAGCCATTTACGAAACGGATCGCTTAACTACCACTCAACACATGCAAATTATGCGATTGTTTTATCAAAACAACAATTCCATACGAACCATATACAGACTTTTACGCGCAGATTATGATCAATGTAATCGTCCTACGGAGCGAACTATTCGAAATGTCAAAAAATTTAAAAATACTGGAAGTGTGAATCATCGTCGTGCACATTCAGTTGAAAATATTGCTGCCAACTCAAGAATGTCGATTCGCCGGCGCTCGCAAGTTTTAGGCTTTTCTTATTTATTTTATTTATTTATTAATACATCCAACAGGCTTTATCAGCCCAATTACAGGAGTATATAATATAATATTTAAAAATACAAAGTTTGAGAATACTTACTTAACTAAATTACATTCTAATTACCTAATTTGATACCAATTTGTAACATTGCTCTCTAAATTGGTAAAATATTAGAAAAAACATATCAACAGAATACTGATTGACACTTCTACACATTGTAGTTAAAGAACTGTGAAAGTGATGTTGTGAATTTCGCACTTGAATATGAAATGTTATATTTGACCTTGACGTATTACGTGGGATACGAAAATTAAATTGAGACAGTAGAGAAGATGAATCTATAGAATTATTAATTAATTTATAGATGAATATTAAATCTGCTATTTCTCTTCTTTTTCTCAGACTCACAAAACTAAATTCTTCTAACAATAAATTATAATCATAGTGACGAATAGGATAACGGCCATGTTTTTTAAAGTAAATATACTTATTTTAAAAATTTTCTTTGGACAGATTCTAATGCACTTATGTACTTTAAATGGTTAGTATTCCAAATACAACTGCAATACTCCAGTTTGCTACGAACTAGTGAAAAATAAACAGAGAAGATGGCTTCTAAAGATTTAAACATTTTACAGTTTCTAATAATAAAACCCAAGATTTTTGTTGCACTTTGTACAGTATTTTCAATGTGTTCCGAAAAAGTCAGTTTGCTGTCAAATAAGATATCTAAATCTTTGTAATTATATATCCGGGAAATAACAAGATTATCTAATTGATAATCGTATAAGACAGTATTTACTTTCCTGGAAAAGGACAGGACTTTGCATTTGTTAGTATTCAAAGATAGTTTTATTTACGATACACCAGTTATGTAAGTTGACAAGGTTTGTTTGAAGAGCAATGCAATCTGAGGTATCCTTTATTTCCCTATAAATATTCATATCGTCTGCAACCAAATTTTTTGAGAGTTGATACAATGACAGATGTCATTAATAAAAATAACAAATAATAAAGGGTCCAAATTCGAGCCCTGAGGAATCCCTGACGTTGACACGAAATTAAAAGATTTGACACTCTGGTATTCAACATATAACTGTCGATTAGTTAAAAATCACTTTAACAGTGAAACACCAAATTGTCTCAGTTTTAGAAGTAATTGTTTGTGAGACACCTTATCAAATGCTTTACTAAAATCTGTGTTTGCGACGTCAGCTTGATATCTATAGTCTAAAGAACTAGATATGTATTGTGTAAATGTACGCAGATTTGACGCGGTACTTCTGAGCTTCACAAAACCATGTTGGTATTCCGTAATTGAATTTTTTACGTGGGAATATAATATATTAGAAAATATAATTTCAAACATTTTGGAAAAAACTGAGATTAATGCGAATGGTCTGTAATTTAATATATCAGAAACTTTACCAGCTTAGAAAACGGGACAGATTCTAGATATTTTCCAAATGTCTGGATAGGCCTCTTCTTGTAGTATACGATTAAATATGTAAAAGAGTGGAACTGACAAAAAAATCTACATAATTTTTTACCAGTTTGGATGAAACATTATCAGGACCACAGGTTAACTTATTTTTTAATTTATTAACTGCGTTGATAATTTGATCTTGAGATATATAACTAATATTAAGAAAATTACTAGGATTTGTATCAACATCATCAAGTATCTCATCATCAGATCCATCACTAAACACGCTACCAAAGTGTAAGATAAAAGCATTAACAATAGATTGGGGAGTGATTAGGATTTCGTTACTGTATGACATTTTCCCGGGAATCCTAGTTTTATTTTGGATTGAATATATGATCAAAAACGACGCGTCGGGGATTTAGTTTAATGTTATTTTCTGAATTTTGAATGAATCTATTATAACAGCTAGTTATATCACGTTTTACAATTGGTTTTAGGTTTTTATAACGTTGTAGATAAAAAAGAAGTTTATGTTTTTTATACAGTTTTAGAAAGTGTTGTTTTTTTTATTAATAATAATAATAATAATAATAATATTTTTTGGCCAATTTGAATTTTACAAATATATATATATACAATCGAGTAATTTTAGCCTATAAATATCCAAAATAAGCCTACGAGGTTATAACCTGTGTGTAGGCAGAACAAATATATATAAAAAAAGAAGAAAGTACCATAACAAGTATTACTTAAAATTAAAAATTAAGATTAAGGATTATAAAGTATCTCTCGTAAGAAGTACCTATTAGAATAAGATATTAATAAGAATAATAATGATGATAGTAATAATAATATAATATAATATACAGCTAAGCTATTAAACAACTAATATTAGAAACAATATGGTACTCACTGAGACATATTTCACTAACGGGATAGATTTTTTTTTTTTTTTGTTACTACTTAATTTGCCAATCTATATTTAATTTTCTATTAGGTTATGGATTTCAATTCTATTTTTTCCACTGACAATTTTTTTCAATAGGTTTTTATACTTTATAAGATTTGTTGTTTTCTTTATCGTTTCGGGCAGGGAATTGAATAATTTAGGAGCTAAATAGGCATAACTTTTTTGACCAATGGACTTATTCATAAATGGTATTAAAAATGTTTCTTTCTGACGAGTGTCATAGCCATGATTTGAGTTTACTAGATCATTTTTATTAAGGTATTGCTTTACATTTAATTGAATATAGTATAGTTGTCTAATGTCGTATATTTTAGATTCATCATATAGAGTATCACTTGAATACCGAAAGTTTTTACACAATATTATTCGGAGGAATCGTTTCTGTATTATTTCCAGGGGTTTCAGGTAAGTTTTGGATAAAGAACCCCAACCCAATATCCCGTAGGTTAGATGTGATTCGACGAGGCTGTAATATATCATTCTTAAATGATGCTCGCTTAATGCGAACTTAACTTGCCTGAATCTACCTAATATGCATCTGAGTTTTTTTAATAAATATGAAACGTGTGCATCCCATCTAAGATGACTATCCACGACTATACCCAAATACTTTATTTCTCTCTTAGCGGTTATACAAACCCCATCAATATTAAGCTCTGTAAAGT